TGGAAAAAGGAAATATGAGCTTTTTGAACAGTTTGATCAAACCTGGGAGAAGTACCTAGATTGTTTCTTCCCATCCTACAGAAGTAGTTATAATTTATGGGAACAAAAAATGCAGGTGATGAACCTATGCAAATTTTGTTAGCCTGTGTTAGACCTGAGTGGGCAGTCTCCAGCTCCCATCTTTTTTTGGTGCCTATTAATGTCTGTGTGTGTGTGTGTGTGTGGCAGGGGGAATCTCACCAGGAGGAAGTTCCTCTTAATTCAGAGGGGGCCCCCAAATTCAATCTGTTTCAGCAGTGGGTAGCAGATGGTATAGTGGGTGGGGATGGAAGGGATGAAAGTGCTAATTGGAAATATGGCCCCCCTTTCTCCTCTCTTCACCCTGAAGCCTGGTCAGGGGCACAGTGAGTTCAATTAGATTGATGAGGTGGATAATAATTGGTTGAGATCAGGGCAGCCATAGTAGGGGAGAGGCAGATCTGTTCCTGTCCTAGCATTGAGTCTGCAGGACATGGCTCCAGGCTGATGTTACTGTAAGCTTTCCATGGTGGAGACAGACCCTAAGACCAGTTCTGGGCCTCCGTGGGCATGAGTTCATATGCAAAACCAAAAGCTGGGACCAGGATCAGGCATACACAAAACCTCCCACCCACACCATGCTGGCAGAGATGGGAGCTGTTGGAATGGGGTGGGGCAAAGATTGGAGAAGGTATCTCAGAGAAGGGCCATTTTGCATCTGTGGAACATCAGAATTGTTTTAAACAATTTGTTGCAGAGACAACCTTAATGTCAGAAATCACAATGAGAGAATAAATTCAGCTCTGGTCTAGCACCTTGTTCGTGTGAAGACTGCTCCATAGGGAAGCTAAGGTGGGCAGGACCCTTGCCAATGCTCACTTTTCCTGCCATTGAGTAGATTATAGTCAAGCTGGCAAGTTACCTGTTGTTGGACATTTAGGTAGTTGCTTTTTCTTTTTCTTTTTTTAACGTTATAAATAACTCTGCAGTGACAAATAAGATTCTGATGGGAGACTCTGGGGGAAGGGCATTTGTGTCAGAGCAAATTGTGTAAGCAAAGCAATGGAGCTGGGACACAGGTCCCTCATTGCCCTCCTGGGAAACTTGCAGGCTGAGCTATCACCCTTCTGCCTAGTGCAGGGCCCTCAGATTCCAGGCTGGGAGGGCAATTGCTGCCTATTAGAGTGGATGAGGTCTGATGGAGTTCCCCTCCCCAAGATGTTACATAGTGTGGAGATGGGTGACTAGCATGGTAGGTAGTTGTGCCTCTGCTCTCAGCTGCAAAAATGGGATTCCAGCCACATGCTCTTCTTCCTCAATAGATGCAGGAGCAGGGCTGTGGTCACGGTGGCAACAATCTTCAAAGCCTCACTTGTTTGCCTCTGCGATGCCTCACTAGATGGCTTAAAATCTGCCTTGAATCATGCTGACAAAATATGTTTATATTCCCTGAGCCCAAGCAACCCAGATGAATTAGAATGTGTTCCCTTATACCGAGGGCACATTTAAGGGAGGACCTCCAGGGGTTTGGCCTCTGGGAATTGGGGCTGGTTTCTGCCTGGGAAGAAGTGAGTAGCAGTCAGGGCCTGTTTGCGTCCTAGGCTTTGGCCCCTGCTGGTAGAGTCCCTCTTGCTAAGCTTTGTCCTCTAGGAATGGCGTTCTCCATTTACCACTGCCCTGGGGTTGTGAGTGCCTTCAACAGGGAAGCATCTGGTTACTCAAGGCCCCAGTTAGGCCCTGCACACAGCAGGTTCTATTGGTGTGAAGGGAGCACATACACAGCAGAGGCAGAGCAATTCCAGGGCATCCTCAGAGTGGAACCTGCTATAGGCCCAGGCTCACACTGACCAGGTATCATAGAGCAGACTCTGGAGTCAGGTCTGTAAAGGTCCTCTATCTCTGAACAAGGACTGAGGGTATCTTTTCCTTTGGGTGCTGGAACCAGCCACACAACATAACAGATGAAGACTGGGCCACAGCTGACAGAGTTGCAGACCTGGGGGCACCATACCCCAGGTTCAAAGAGTGCCTGGAGCCTACTTAGACAGTTATATCTGGTCTGGGGCCTCACTTCTGTACCTAATGCTGGGTCCCTATGGGCCCAACAATGTAGTATAGGGCTAGGCAGGCTTGTCTTGCTTTTGCTCATCATTACCTCTGAATATCTTCTGACCAATCCTTCCCCTTGGGCTCAGGGAATATAAACCTAGTCAAATTTTGCCTTTCCACCCAGATGGAGCTTTTCCCTCAGAAGAATACCCTAAGCACCATGCCTAAATGCAATACTTACTAAAGCAATCAAAGTCATCATACTAAAAATTCTAACAGAAACAAAAGTTTTATTTTTGAGGGTTCTGCTCCTTCAATATCCAACTCTGTCCCAAAGAGAACTCTTATTTCCTTTGGTGTCCTTCCAAAGTTCTTTTTTGGTATCCTTCACAATTTGTGGCTGTGGGGGGGTGGGGGTAGGGTTGTAAAAGTATACCAGTATGAACTTTAAAATATTTCCCAAATAGCAGTACCCTTTACCCACCATTCTGTCCCTTTTTTAACTGAACAACTGAGAATAAAGTGAAGCACACCTTTTTTTTTTTTTTTTTTAACATTTATTTTTTAGGTGTAGATGGACACAGCACAATGCCTTTATTTTTTATGTGGTGCTGAGGATCAAATCAGGGTCCCGCCTGTGGTAGGCAAGCGCTCTACCACTAAGCCACAACCCCAGCCCTCATACCTTATTCTTTTTTTTTAAAGAGAGAGACAGAGAGAGAGAGAGAATTTTTTTTAATATTTATTTTTTAGTTATCGGCGGACACAACATCTTTGTTTGTATGTGGTACTGAGGATCGAACCCAGGCCACACGCATGCCAGGCGAGTGTGCTACCGCTTGAGCCATGTCCCCAGCCCTCATACCTTATTCTTAATAGGTACCAAGTATTCTTCAATGTGGATGGCCTCCAGGCTTTTTTTTTTTTTTTTTTTTTGGCCTCCAGTCTTTTTTTTTTTAATATATTTTTTTAAAGAGAGAGTGGGAGAGGAGAGAGAGAATTTTTTTAATATTTATTTATTTTTTTTAGTTTTCGGCGGACACAACATCTTTGTTTGTATGTGGTGCTGAGGATCGAACCCGGGCCGCACGCATGCCAGGCGAGCGCGCTACCGCTTGAGCCACATCCCCAGCCCTTGGCCTCCAGTCTTAATAATGCCCTTTTATTGTGAAGTATAATAAAAATCTAGGAATGTGCTCCAAGCGTGTACATTTTTATAAATTGTTATAAGGCACAAACCTGTGTAACTACTATTGAGGTTCAGAAACAAGCCCTCTACCTGGGTGTGGTGGTACATACTTGTAATCCAGGATAGGAGGCTGAGGCATGATGATTGCAAATTTGAGGTCAGTCTGGGCAACTTAGCAAGATCCTATCTCAAAACAAAAAATGACTGGGTTGGGGCTGTAGTTGTAGCTTAACGGTAGAGTACTTGCCTCACACATGTGAGGCACTGGATTCGATTCTCAGTACCACATGTAAATAAATAAAGAAAGGTCCATCAACAACTAAAAAAATATTTTTAAAAATTTTTAAAAAGAAGATCTGGAGAAGTAGCTCAGTGATAGCATGCCCCTGGGTTCAGTCCTTTTACCACATGCATGAAAGAAGCCCTTCAGAAGCCCCCACATGTCCTGAATCAGTCACCATCTCTCCTTTCTCTTAGAAGGAACCATTATATGACTCAAAGGTGCTTATTCTCTAGCTTTTCGTTATAGTGCATTTGTATCCCTGAATGGTATGAATTGTTTTTGAGTTCTGTGGCAATAGAATCATACTGTATATATTCTGTACCCTTTCTCACTGAGCACTGTAAGATTAATTGGTTCCATATAGCTGTAGCTCCTTCATTTTCATTGCAGTATAATGTGACTCTATAATAATATGTCCTGTAGTGGTGGATAGTTGAGCTGTTTCCAGTTTTTGGCAATTATGAATATGGCTGCTATGAGCATTCTAGTACAAGTGTTCTGAAGCACAAATGTATGTGTTTGTATAGGGCAGATGTTTACCAGTGTATCAGGCATGTCTGTTCAACCAAACTGTTTCTTGAAGGGGAGAGTTGCCCTTTACCATGTTGTTCACATCTTTGCCAATACTTGCTATCTCCAGATCTTCAGGGATGAATATCTGGTAAATGGGTGGTTATAGCGCCTTAATCAGTAAAATGGCTAAAATTTATTTTTATTTATCATTTCTTGTGGCATGGGGATTAAACCTGGGAGCACTTCATCACTGAGCTATATCCACTGCCCTTTTTATTTATTTATTTATTTTTTTTAGAGAGAGAGAGGAGATTTTAATATTTATTTCTTAGTTTTCGGTGGACACAGCATCTTTATTCTATTTGTATGTGGTGCTGAGGATCGAACCCAGCGCCCCGCGCTTGCCAGGCAAGCATGTTAGCGCTTGAGCCACATCCCCAGCCCCCTTTTTATGTTTTTAATTAATTGTTTTCAGTACTAGGAATCAAACCCAAGGCCTTGCACATGCCAGGCAAGCACTCTATCATTAAGCTACATTCCCAGTTCTTATTTTTTATTCTGAGACAGGATCTAAGTTGCCCAGGTTGCCTTTGAACTTGTAATTTTCCTGCCTCAACCTCCCAAGTAGCAAGAATTATAGGCGGGTGCCACTCTACTTGGCTAAAATAGCTAAAATTTAAAGAAGTTGTTTGATAAGTCTTCTCAAGTGTATATAATATAGAACTATTCCCTGATATATCAGCATAACACATTTGTAGTTCTGGCAGCCAAATTGAGTGATTGGATATATGGCCAGAAAAGAGGGTAGGTCTCAGCCTGCTTACCTTGAGCCCTTTCTGGTGCTCTGGCTTGGCTTGAGCCAGGCTAGGGTCTCTCAAAGGCAGATCTGATGTGGGAGAAGTAGAGTGGTATAGCTGAGCTAGATCCCAATCCTGCCCACAGCTTAGAGCCTGGCAATGCCGTTTGGGTGTGTGACTCTGGGTGACAAGAAGAACTATAACCAGCCATCGGAGGTGACTGACAGATATGATTTGGGACAGGTCATCAAGACGTGAGTGCTGGGCCTGCTGGGCAAAAATGGGTGGGTGGGCAAGCAGAGGGGGCGTGGAATGTACCCTACACTAAGGCCAGGACTGAGTGGATGACCTGCCTGCTACAGTGAGGAGTTCTGTGAAATCTTTCGGGCCAAGGACAAGACTACAGGCAAGCTGCACACTTGCAAGAAGTTTCAGAAGCGGGATGGCCGCAAGGTGCGGAAGGCAGCCAAGAATGAGATCGGCATCCTCAAGATGTGAGTTGAGGTCTGGTCTGGGGGCAGGGAAGGATAGGAGGCTGTAGGGAAGGGCTTAAAGGGCAGGTAGACTCAGGCAATACCATCCTCTGGCTAGTCAGTGTCCTGTGGCTGCCACAGTGACCAGGGACTCTCCTAAGGGTTCACCTAGTTCTAACTACTGACTTCTCCCCGCCTCTAGGGTGAAGCATCCCAACATCCTGCAGCTGGTAGATGTATTTGTGACCCGCAAAGAATACTTCATCTTCCTGGAGCTGTGAGTAAGGGTCTGGGATCCCAGGATTCCCTAGTCCCTGGGGTCTTTATTTGTCCTGCCCTCGGCAACTAAGGAAAGACCCCTCTCTGGACCCTTGGGGTTCTAAGTCCCTGTGCCTTGCCCAGTCATCTGCCTGGTGAAGGGAGGCCTCCCAAACACTCCTGCCCCGTCCCCAATCCTGCCCACGCCGGGCTCAGGGGCTGGTGTCCCTCAGGGCCACGGGGAGGGAGGTGTTTGACTGGATCCTGGACCAGGGCTACTACTCGGAACGAGACACGAGCAATGTGGTGCGGCAGGTCCTGGAGGCTGTGGCCTACTTGCACTCACTCAAGATTGTGCACAGGAACCTCAAGGTGAGTCAAGGTTCAGAATCACTGGGTCAATTTGCAGCCAAGCTGGGGTTGGAGTACAATGGGAAGTATCTTGGGGCATTGGTCCAGACTTTGAGGCCCTCATGGTATCCTCTTCTGCCTACCCAAATGACATGTGGCTTGAGCAGCTGGAGAACCTGGTTTACTACAACCGGCTGAAGAACTCCAAGATTGTCATCAGCGACTTCCACCTGGCTAAGCTAGAGAATGGCCTCATCAAGGAGCCTTGTGGGACCCCTGAGTATCTAGGCAAGCAGGGATGGGACAGGGGCAGGTTGGGGGAGGTCAGCCTTGAGGGAATCACTTTGGGTAGGGGGATGTCCCTATCTCAGGTAGTAGTTGTGGATGGCCTGATACTGACTAGCATTTGGACATTGTTTGTAGCCCCGGAGGTGGTAGGCCGGCAACGGTATGGACGCCCTGTGGACTGCTGGGCCATTGGTGTCATCATGTATATCCTGTGAGTGGATGGGTAGACATGTAGGCTTGCAGCTGGGTGGGGTGAAGCCCTATGTCTGGCTATCTTGGGTGACTCTGCTTCCATGTAGGCTTTCAGGTAACCCACCCTTCTATGAGGAGGTAGAAGAAGATGACTATGAGAACCATGATAAGAATCTGTTCCGGAAGATCCTGGCTGGCGACTATGAGTTTGACTCTCCATACTGGGATGATATTTCTCAAGCAGGTGAGGAGATGCTCAGTATGTGGGTAGAGTGTAGGGCAGTGGGAAGGGAGGCGCTGCTCTCAGCTTCTCTGCTGGATTCTGCTCCTGCCCCCCAGCCCATTCATCACCTCTAGACAATGAGATGGGGCGCCCATGCGTAGCTCCTTCCTGGCTTTGTCCCCAGCCAAAGACCTGGTCACAAGGCTGATGGAGGTGGAGCAAGACCAGCGGATCACTGCAGAAGAGGCCATCTCCCATGAATGGTGAGCAAGGCCCAGGAGAGAACTGAAGGAGGAGAGGCCAGGCTTCTCTTGACTTCTATTCCCCTCATACCTAAATGTCCCCATCCCTGAGGCCTTGACCCAAGTTCCTGCCAGCCCACAGACTTTGCTTGGTAGTCTTGGATCCTGTAGTGGGAGGGCTGGACAGAATCTTCCCAAAGACCCATATCTCTCAGATCCAGATGTACTTGTACCCTTCCCAGGATTTCTGGCAATGCTGCTTCTGATAAGAACATCAAGGATGGTGTTTGTGCCCAGATTGAAAAGAACTTTGCCAGGGCCAAGTGGAAGGTAAGTTTTGATTGTTCTCTTTCTTGGCCCAGTCCTAAGTGTTCCTTCTGATACCCAGTTTCTTGCCCATACCACACCTCTGCAAAACCATACACAAGCTTTCTTTAGGTTCTCATGAATGGCTGTCATGACCTTAAGCGGAGTACTGAGCAGTTGGATCCCTGGTCTAAGGTGGTCAGAAGTAGCTGGGGTACCATGGAAGGGGCTGGGTTTAGCAATTGCCAGGGATTGGATCCAGCTAGCCTCACCTTGAGTTTCTCCTCCACTGTCCTCCTTTCAGAAAGCTGTCCGAGTGACCACCCTCATGAAACGGCTCCGGGCACCAGAGCAATCTGGCACAGCTGCAGTGCAGTCTGGCTCAGCCACAGACACTGCCACCCCTGGGGCTGCAGGTGGGGCTGCAGCTGCAAGTGGATCTGCCACAGAGGGTGATGCTGCATGTGCTACCAAGAGTGAAAATGTGGCCTCTGCAGACCGTAGTGCCACCCCAGCCACAGATGGCAGCACCACTCCAGCCACTGATGGGAGTGTCACCCCAGCCACTGATGGGAGCATCACCCCAGCCACTGATGGCAGTGTCACCCCAGCCACTGACAGAAGCGCTACTCCAGCCACAGATGGGAGAGCCACACCAGCCACAGAAGAGAGCATGGTGCCCACCACCCAAAGCAGTGTCACACCAGCTGCCAAGGCAGCTGCCACCCCTGAGCCGGCTATGGCCCAGCCGGACAGCACAACCCTAGAGGGTGCCACAGGCCAGGCTGTACCCTCTAGTAAAGAAGGGGCTACTGGCTATGCCCAGGAGTCTCGAAGAGAGGAGACCAGCTGAGTGGGCAGCCTGGTGGGGGATGGGGGGCGGGCAGGAGGGTGGGAGAGTGAATGAGGGGCTTTTCATTGTACATAGAGTCACTGGCATGATGCCCTTGCTCCCCCAAGCTCCCCATCCTAGTGGGGCATTCCTGGGGGCCACGGGAGAGCAGTCTTGTCTCCTGTGTGTATGTGCGAGTGGTGGGCGGGCCAGAGGCAGGGCCAGCCCCAACCCCTGCATGGATACCCTGTGGCTTTTCTGTCTGTTGCTACCTTCACGAATTTTTGTTCCTTGTGGGATGCTGCTCTAGGGATCTCAGGGGGTCCCTGCTCTCTTTCTCCTTCCCTTCCTGCCTCATCATTCACCCAGGCAGGCCCTGCAGGTTCCATACTTTCCCAGGCCCTAAATTGAGTGGCCTTGCCCTGAGAGCTGGTCCTCCAGCGAGGCCCTGTCAGTGGTGTTAGGCTCCTACATATGAAGGTGTGTACCTGTGGTATGTGGGCTGCTTTAGGAGTAGACGCTGGCTAGTACAGAGTATCCAAAAATCTAGGGCAGTTTGCTTTAAATCAAGATTGGTCATGTGTTGGCTGGGGGCACTAAATGCTAGCTGTGGGGGTCCTTAGAAATATGAGCGATGATAAGAGAATGAGTAGGAGGGTAGAAGCTTCCATCTTTGTCCCTGGGAAGGCCCTCCTGAGACGCTTGTGTTATTTCTTGCCCTCTTGAGTCCTGCAGTGGGTTGCCCTGTACCCTGAACCTCTTGGGCCTCTACGGGAAAGGAGAAGCAATTAGGATGTGGCAATGAGACCTCATAGAACATAGTACAGGACTAGCACCCAGTGCCCCAGCCTAGCTGGATCCTTACCATGGGCTAAACAGGGAGGGCTGATGTCCCCATTCTCTTTCTGTATGCTAACCCTGCACAGGCTCAGCCCATAAATCTTCTCTATCCCAGGGGGGCTGCTGATTGGTGGTAATCCTTAGTATGATCTGGGGGTTTGCCCTTCAGAGGGGTGGATTTTCTGCTCTCAGTTTAACAAGAACATGGAGAAGATCCTTCTCTGTTTTTACTCTTGCTACTGTTAGAGGCCTAGGAGCCTCTGAGCCATGTTAAGTTGCTTTTGCTGGGATGAAGAAGTATAAGACTCCCTAGTACCCTGAGGGAGGTTCCTGACAGGTGCCCTTTGTCAGACACTACCACAGCCTGGACAGGCAACCATACTGGTCCTCGCCCTTGCTTGGCATTCCATGGTGGTCCTGCCGTTCTCCTTGCATGCCTGTGGGTCTGCTCTGGTACGTGAAGGTTGGTGGGCTAATTGTGTGCCTGCTGAACCTGGCAAATAAACGTCACCCTGCAAAGCCTCTGGCCACCCTCTTGCCTTTGCTTCCTCTGTCCTACCAAGGAAGAGTCCCTGGAAGGCAGTGGGGAGGGGAGAGGCTGGGAGAAGGTTCACAGGTAGTAGCTGATGCTCAGTAGATTGCTTGAGCTGAGAGTGAAGGTTACTCTCAACCAGTTGATCCACAAAGGTGGTGATTGATGGGTGTCCTCTGGACTCTAGAAATCCATGTGGGTGGTGCATTCTGAGCTAGATATGGGCCCAGGAATACTTCCTGGGCTGAAAGCTCAAGTAAGGCTGCTGTTCTGACTTCTGTTGATTAAAGGAGCCTTTGTCTTAACTTGGGTACAGAGCCAGAACCCATCCAGGGCCAACCACCACAGCAAGCAACCTTGCTCATAGCCTAAGTGGGCTTTCCTTAGTTGGGGAGAAGGTATAGGATGGGCATTGCACAAAGGTTCTATACTGCTGTGTGTTGATTCCTTCCTGTGAACACCTGTGCTTTCCACATAGGCCCAATGGGATTTTGCTCGGTGGCTTCTTCAGCTCATGGGGCTCTGCACAAAGTTTCTTCAGGAGAGAGTAACCCTGTCAAAACGGCTGAAGATCCCAAAGTAGTCTTGCTCTAGCCCAGAGTTGAACTCACCAGGGTTGCTGCTTTCTCAGGGAGAATCTCAAAGAATAACTTATTCTTTTGTGGGAATAATAAAAAGGGTTGTTAGTTCCTGGTCTTCGAAGCATTTATGCCTCCAAAATTGCAACCCTACTACATTCTCAGGCATGATGAATCCTGGGAGCTGAGAGCTAAATTAAGTTACTGGCCCTAGTATCTCCAAACCCGGGGATCATTAGCTCTTACTTAGATAAAGCCAAGGTTACTGTGGGTCGTGCTGATTGGTTGGGCCATACATATCCATCTTTCCAAGATCACTAATAATCTTAAACTGAGAGGGTGGGGCATTATTTTGGTCTGGGAACTATAAGCTGCCAGTGCGCGTTCTGTAAGCGGAACTATAAGAGGTCCAGCACTGCCCAGAACCCGGGGACCCATGGGGACCACGGTTCCATCCCCTTGTGGCTGCAGTTTTGACTTTCCCTGAGTGCTGAAAGAAGAGACAGCCCAGGCCTGGTTATTTCGCGCCAGCTTGGTACCACAACAGCCAGTTTTGCTTGGAAGAAGGGTTATCTCGCAGCGTCGCTGCTTTCCGCCCTAATCCAAGGCAGTGCCCTTTGTCTCAGGGGTTGGTGGAGGTTTCCAAAAATCGCTTAAGAGCCACCGCGCTCAATCCCAGGATTCTCTACGGTCGAGGGCCGCTAAACCTCATCAATGGTCCCGCCCCGCCGGGAGTTAATCCAATCAGAGCCAAACATTCAGGCTCTTTTCCCGGTTTGGTGTCGTCATTTCCGGTTTATTCCCGGAAGTCGTGCTGTGGAGCCAAATTTGAAGCAAGCCGAGACGCGGGGGCGCGGCCACGAAGTTGGACCTGTTGCAGTTTCCTTGGCTACCTGGTCCGCTTGAGTCCAGCCATCATGCCTATCCGTGCCCTGTGCACTATTTGCTCGGACTTCTTCGACCACTCCCGCGACGTGGCGGCCATCCACTGTGGACACACCTTCCACCTTCAGTGGTGAGTGACAGCGGTGTACGGGCCCACACTTGCCCTGGTACTGCTTCGGGGCCTTAGGGTGTCGGACCTTCAGGCAACCCATACTCGAAGCCCAGATGGGCGGTGAGGACCTCAATAGACTGAGCTCCGCGGGAGCTTCCAGACCTGGGCTGAAGTGGGTAAGGCGGAGGTGATAACTGAGCCCCCAGGGGGCAGAATTGGTGTAGTGAAGAGAGTAGGGGCTTCCATGAACACTTGTGCAAAGAGATGTGACTTCAAAACTATTAGCCTGAGCAGAGTTGAGCTTCCACTACATTAACAAGCCCTTTTATCTCTTCAAGATAGAAACTTAACAGGCTTCTGACCACCCAAAAGGTTTTGCTGTGGATTGATTCTATCTAGAATCATCTCATGAGCCAAATACACCAGTTTATGCACCACGCCAGCGAACTCGATTTAATATGGAAAGGCAAGGAGATACTTCCCTATCAAGGGATCCTGCTGACTATATAGGACCATTTTGTTGAGTGTAATAGTAATAGTCACAGGGAACTCGTAGGACCAAAGGCCTCAGGGAGCAGGTAGCTAGGCATCACCCTGATAGCTACAGGGTGCCCCTTACTTGCAAAGCTCAGGGTTTCTGATGGCCTGAGCCCCATGCTGAGGGAACCATTGTTGTTTGATTAGAAACCAAAGATCACTTCTTAAAATATTTTATTTACTGTTATATCCTCTATTTTCTAACTTTTCACTTTAGTCTTTTCTGTGTATTCATGTTTTACATGTGAAAACAACCTTTAGTTGGACTTTAAAAATCTCCTCTTATAATCTTTGTATTTAACTGGACCATTTAGTCTACTTAAAATGTTGCAGTGCGGGTGCAGTGGCAACTAGGTAGACAGACAGGAGGATCACATGTTCAAGGCTTAGTGAGGGGCTGGGGATGTGGCTCAAGTGGTAGCGTGCTCGCCTGGCATGCGTGCAGCCCGGGTTCCATCCTCAGCACCACATACAAACAAAGATGTTGTGTCCGCCGAAAACTAAAAAATAAATATTAAAAAATTCTCCCTCCTCCCTCTCTCTTTCTCTCTCTCTCTCTCTCTTTAAAAAAAAAAAAAAAGGCTTAGTGAGACCCTGTCTCAAATTTTAAAAAATAATAAAAAATAGATGGAGATGTAACTCAGTGGTACAAACCTCTCCCCACCACCACCACCATTGTTCATTCCCTAGTAAAAAAAAGCAAAAGACAAAAATAATGATAATTATAAAATTATAATAATGCAATTACTGAATGAAGATTAAGTATCCTATTTGGTGTTTTCTGTTTTGTTTGGCCTGTTTCTTATTTACTCCTTTCTTGTTTTAATTTGAATTGGTTACATACTTTGTATTGCTCCTTTTTTTCCCCTGAATGAGTTTGGAAGATATATACCCCATTTTCATTCTTTTAGTAATTATACTATATATAGTCTTAACATACCAAATTCAAAATTAATCAACACCTTTTTCACTTGCCAGGTAACTCAGAGTTTAGAATACTAACACTTTTTTTTTTAAATATATTTTTTAGTTATAACTGGACACAACATCTTTATTTATTTGTTGTTATGTGGTGCGAGGATCGAACCCAGGGCCTCCCATGTGCTAGAGGAGCACTCTACTGCTAAGCTACCACCTCAGCCCCCTAACACACTCTTTCTACATTATTGTTTTTTGAGTAATAAACTTTTTATTTACAATAATTTTTTATTTACAGACAAGTTGTAAAGATAGTACAGATAGTATTTATTTATTTATTTTTCTGGTACTAGGGATTGAACACAGAGGCACTTAACCACTGAGCCACATCCCTAGCCCATTTTATTTTTTTAAAAAAAAGAGAGAGAGAGAGAATTTTTTTAATATTTATTTTTTTTTTAGTTTTCGGCAGACCACAACATCTTTGTTTGTATGTGGTGCTGAGGATAGAACCTGGGCCGCATGCATGCCAGGCAATCGCACTACCGTTTGAGCCACATCCCAGCCCCTAGCCCATTTTTTACATTTTATTTAGAGGCAGGGTCTCACTGAGTTGCTCAGTGCCTCACCATTGCTGAGGTTGGCTTTGAACTTGAGATCCTCCTGCCTCAGCCTCCCAAGCTGCTGAGATTATAGACATGAGCCACCTCACCCAGCAGGTTTTTTTTTTAATTATTTAGTTAATTAATTAATTTTTATGTGGTGCTGAGGATTGAACCCATGGCCTCACATATGCTAGGCAAGCACTCTACTGCTGAGCCACAACCCCAGCCCAGTTTTGTTTTTTTTTAACTTATTTTTTACTTTTTAGTTGTAGTTGGACACAATACCTTTATTTTATTTATTTTTATGTGGTGCTGAGGATGGAACCTAGGGCCTTGCACGTGCTAGGGGGCACTCCACCACTGAGCCGCAACTTTAGCCCCAGTTTTTTTTTTTTTTTAATGAAGAGTCCCAGTCAAGTATTTTGTAGAATATCTGTCAACTTGAGTTTCTCTGATATTTTCTCATGATTTGACTGGGATTATAGGTTTTGGGGAAGTATGCTATAGAGGTAAGGTGCTCTTCTCATGGTATCTTATTGAGGGGTACATGCTAACAACATACTTATCTCTGATGGTATTAACCATGATCCCTTAGTTAAGGTGGTGTCTACCAGATTTCTCCATCATGAAGTTACAGGACCAGTTCATACTCAAGTAGAAAGGAATTAAGCTCTACACTATTTGGAATTCTTTGTAAGGAATTTGGTATTTTCTCTGTTTATTCAGTCATCTATGTAATGGGCTTATATGTTTTTTTGGATATATACCTGGGAGTGGATAGGCTGACACATGGGAATTCTATGTTTAGCTTTTAGCTTTTGAGGAATTGCATACTATTTTCCATAGCAACTGTATCTTTTTTATTTTTTTTCCCCTTTTTGAGATGGGGTCTAATTATGTTGTTCAGGCTGATCTTGAACATCACTTTAGTTTCTTTCATTTTGTTTATTTATTATTTCGATGTTGTTTGTTTATTTATGATTTGTTTGTTATGATTTCTGGTGTTGGGATTGAACCTAGGACAATTATGAACTCTACAATAACTGAGCTACACTATTACTTGCATCTTTTTAAATTCCCACCAAAAATACATGAGGTTTCTACAACACTTGTCATTTTTCCATCTTGTTTTTGTTTTTGTTTTCTTCAGTGTTGGAGATTGAATCCGGGGCCTTATACACCTGGAACTTGCTCTACCACTGAGCCACACACATGGCCCTCCATTTTTGGATAACAGCTATCCTAGTGGATTTAACATGACATTTTGCTTACTACCTTCCCTCCCTCCCTCCCTTTCTCCCTTCCTCCCTTTGTTCGTTCGTTCGTTCCTTCCTTCCTCCCTCCCCTCCTTCCTCCCTCCCCTCCTTCCATCCCACAGGGGCACTTAACCACTAAGCTACATCCCAGGCCCCTTTTTTTTCCCTTTTGAAACAGGGACTCATTAAGTTGCTTAAGGCCTTGCTGAATTGCTGAGGCTGGCTTTGAACATGCAATCCTCCTTCCTCAGCCTCCTGAGTCACTGGGATTATAGGCATGCGCCATGGAATCCTGCTATCCCCTGGCCTTTCTAGTGTGTGTGTGTGTGTGTGTGTGTGTGTGTTTGGTATTGGGAATTGAACTCAGGAGCATTCAACACTGAGCCACATCCCCAGCCCTATTTTGTATTTTATTTAGAGACAGGGTCTCACTGAGTTTCTTAGCAACTTGCTAAATTGCTGAGGCTGGCTTTGAACTTGTGATATTCCTGCCTCAGCCTTCCAAGACACTGGGATTACAGGCATGCACCACTGCGCCCAGCTGTTTTATTTCTAGATGTGTCTTACTAAATTGCTTAGGGCCTCCCTGAATTGCTAAGGCTGGCCTTGAATTTGAGAGCCTCCTACCTCATTTTCCTGAGTTGCTGGGATTACAGGCACACACCTCCATGCCTTTTTTAAATTTAATTTTGGCAAAATATGCACAAATGCATGTCATAAAAACTACCATTTTTCATTTATTTATTTTTGTCCTTTTATAGATTGAACTTGGGAGCACTCTACCTCTGAGCTACATCTGTAGGACTCAGTCTCCCAAGTAGCTGGGATTACAGGCCTGTACCACTGTGCCTGGCTCCTTTGAATAATTTTTTTTTTTTTTTTGGTATTGGAGATTGAACCCAGTGGTATTTAACCACTAAGCCACATCCCCATCCCTTTTTATTAGGTATTTTGAGACAGGATCTCCCTAACATGCTTAAGATTTTCCTAAGTTGTTGAAGCTTGCTTTGAAATCGTGATCCTCCTGTCTCAGCCTCCCAAGCCGCTGGGAGTACAGGCGTGTGCCACCATGCCCAATTTCAATAATTTTAAAAAGTATATTTTTAGTTATAGATGGATGTGAAACCTTTTATCTATCTATCTATCCATTTATTTATTTAGTTAGTTAGTTTTAGGTGGCCATAATATCTTTATTTTATTTTTATGTGGTGCTGAGGATTGAACCCAATGCCTCTCGTGTGCTAGGTGAGCACTCTACCACTTGAGCCACAACCCCAGCCCTTTTATTTTTTTATGTGGTACTGAGGGATCAAACCCAGTGCCCCATGCATGCTAGGCAAGTGCTCTACCACTGAGCTACAACCTCAGCTCTCAGTAGTTTTTTTTTTTTATATATATATATATTTTTAGTTGTAGTTGGACACAATACCTTTATTTTATTTATGTGGTGCTGAGGATCGAACCCAGGGCCCCACACATGCAAGATGAGCACTCTACCACTGAGCCCCAGCCCCTCAATAGTTTTTAAGTGTACAATTCTTTGGCATTAAGCACATTCACACCGTTGTGCAACCATCACCACTATTTTTTTTTCATGGATTCTATGGAGAATACTTTTATTATACAGGTTCATATGCATACAATTATTTGGGAAACATTTATAGGCATGAAGCTCAATTCCAAATCTCCATTTTACCTACAC